GAGAGAGAGAGAGAGAGAAATACATCCTACTTCCCCCCTCCCCCTCACAGAAATTAAGCAGCTAAAGCCCACTTGAAACACCAATTTCGATGAAGAAAGTAAGGATGGGGCCTAATTTTGAGAAACAAGTCAGACAGCCAGGCCTAAAGGCCCAAGGCTGTAGAGTGCACAAGCCCAGCAGCAGTGGGCCAGCCAAGCCCTTGACACATAGATAAATGGCCAAAAGAAACCTTATCCAAGCAGTTTCACATCAAAGCAGCCAAGCAGGCTGACCTTCCTCACAATCTGGCCAAGAAGCAGGTGAGACTCTAATGGGATGCCAGGAGGACGAGGGCCTCATGTGGATCCAGGGGGATTTTCCCATGCTTTCCTTCTAGCTTGTCAGCTGGTGAATTTAGATACGTGGAGTGACACAAACAGCTCAGCCAGATACTCCAGGTCTTGCAGTGACCCTATAGCATATCTAAACAGTGTATGAAGCACACAGGGCCCAAACCTGGGGGACATTCAGAGCTGTGTCTATCCCTCTTTGCCTCTCACTGCTGAGGTGTTCAGGGGATGTCTGGCCTTCTGACATCCAGCGTTTCCTAGATGACAGTATCCTGGAGAGCCAGCATGTTCATGATAGTCCCTCAGCTGGCTGAGGAATGATGAACAGTCTGTGGACTGGGCAGTGTGTCTTGGGCCAACTGAAGGAGCAGCTCAGCCATGGTGCTGCTTCCTCCTCACACTCCTCTGTGGAGCAGGTAGTGTGGGAGTGGTCATAGGAACCCTACAGGGGAGGAGGTGGAGGGCCATGGCAAGACTGTCTAAATGGTAGCTAAAGAAACTACGAGGACTTTCCATCCTATTTATGTGTGCATGTGGTCCTATGTACACAGGTGCCCCGGAACATTGTGTGCAAATGGAGGCCAGAAAACAATTGCAGACATCGTTCTTAGGGTGCTTGTTTTTAACAAATATTTTATAATTAAAGAATTTGTGTGTATGAGTGTTTTTCCTGCATTTATATAAGTGCACCCATGTTATGCAGTGCCTACGGAAGCCAGAAGAGGCATGGATCCCCTGGAACTGGAGTTACAGATGGTTGTTAGCTGCCATTTGGGTGCTAGGGACTGAACCTGGGTCCTCTGTAAGAGAAGCCAGTGCTCTTAACTGCTGAGTTGTCTCTCCAGTCCTCCTCCCCTTTTTGAGGCAGGGTCTGTCATTGGTCTGGAACTCTGATTCCAGTAGGCTGGCTGTCCATCCAGGGATCCACCTGTCTGCCTCCCCAGCTCTGGGATTATAAGAACACCCAACACTCCCAGCTGTTTTGCATGGGTTCTGGGGAAAGACATTGGGTCCTCATGCTTTCAAGGCAAGTACTTTACCAACTGACCCATCTCCCTAATTCCTCATTCCACTTCTGACCCTGATGCACTCTGCCACACTGATGCTCTGCTAATGTGGTGGGGAAAGTTGCCAAACTGGGATTGAGCAGACCTGGAAAAGGTGCATCACCCTCCTGTAAACCACACACCCAACCTCAGGAAGAAGCTTGTGAGGCGGTAAAAGAAGCTACTGTTGACTGAGTTACTTCATGCCATGAGATTTGCAATGCAGCAGCCACAACTGGCTTGCCTTGTGTGCCCAGTTTGTGTGCCAGTGCCTGGTTTGATGAACATCTGTGGGGGAAATTGCAGTGGGAAAGGAGGGGTGGCTTTCCTCACACACTTCTCAGACCAGACTCTGCTACTACCCTGGGCACTTCCCCCTGGCCCTTGTTTCCTTGTTTGTACCTCTGTCAGACCTTCTGTGTTTAAGTTGTAGTAAGTGACCTGAGCCAAGTTCTAATTACTTATTTCCAACCACCTGCTGGCAAGCTCTATCTAGATGTCTTTCGATCAGCCACAATTTCCATGTCCAAAGTCCTAAGTCAATATTTCTCCTGACAACTTTGGGCTATGGTTCAGCTACTAGGGCAATGTCCCAGCCACCTTCCTTCCTATGTGAGTTTGAAGTCTGTTATCTTTTTCTTCTTTCTAATTCAGTCAAGTGCTGATGACTCCTTTTATTTCCTCCTCTCCATTTGCATGACCCAATCTAGTATTGTATCAAACTAGTCCTTTCTCCTGTCCATTTTGCCCCTGACCAGTGGGCTCTGGCCTCTGGCTGCCTGCTCAGCTAGCCCATCTCCCATCAGTCTGCCAGGCTCGGCGTCACCTCTGTCTCTGAAGGTCATTGCTTTCACTAAGACTTCTTTCTTCTGTTGACCTCATTCAGAGTCACACCATCCACACACACTATAATGTGTTTTCTAGGACCCATCACTCCAGGCCTTTCGGTTTACTGAATGTGAGGTTGACTCATGGGTGCCCTACCTTACATCTGAGTCTCACCCCAACTTGGGGAACTGCATTCCCCCAGGCTCCGTTTGTTCCTGTGAAGGACCAGAGCCCAGATCCTACTCCAAAGTCATGCATCTCTGCCCCCAGGTTGGCCTTGCTCTGGGGCAAAGTCATCAGGTTTACTTTTTTGTCTCACTTCACCAAGATTGGAAGATTTCAAGATTTCACGCAGGGCCAAAGAGTGGAGACCACCCCGCCAAATGCTCACTCCAGGGCCAGTGGAACAGCTCAGTGGGTAAAAAACACTTGCTATGCAAGCCTGTGATCTGAGTTTGATCCCATGGTTGAAAGAGCAAACCAACTCCCACAAGTTGTTTTCTGATTTTTGCATGCCTGCTGTAACGTGAACACACATATCATACACACACAGAATAAATAAAAATTTAAAAATGTAAGTCTGTAACTAGTAAGTCTTAGCTTGAGAGCCTGGGGAGCCCAGCTGGCAGGGCAATTCCATTTATGGCAGCAGAAAAATCTCATCAGGTTGTCAACCTTTTATTTTTATTCCATTTTATAAGAAAAAATGTGTGTCCCAACGGCACACATCCTGATGGTGTAGCTCAGGTGGGTGAGCACCAGGCCTGTGAACTCCATGTCACAGGCTCTGTGGAGGACTTTGTATGAAACCCATCATTCACATATTTGGTTATTATTTATGTGCCACAGAAACTGCATACACATGGGCATTTTTATTTTCTGAGACAGGATCTCACTATGTAGCTCTGGCTGGCCTGCCTGGAACTATGTAGACCAGGCTGGTTTTGAACACACAGAGATCGGCCTGAGGCTGCCCCAAGTGGGATTAAGACATGAGCCACCATATCTAGCTACATGAGTTTTAAATAATGTCATAGCATGCTTTTAAGCTTAATGTATTCTATAAAAATACCCTCCCAGAGGGAAATCTCAAGGGGTTCCACTTCAAGAGGAGGAGCTGCAGGCAATCAATGGATACTGAGGGAAGGAAAATCAGTTTTCTCCAGGACTAGCTCCCCAAGAGGTTATCTAACTCCAAGAGGGCAGCCCTAAACCTTACACAGGAGCTCCACTGAGTGGACTCAGTGTAATAATACATCTATAAATGTATGCATATTATGCAACAATGATAATCAAAGAAGGGCACAGGAAATGGGGGTGCATAGAAGGAACTGGATGGAGACTTGGGGGGAGTAGGGAATGGAAATGGTGTGAAGAGTATATTTGTGAATGATGTTCACCAAAAAAATTTAAAAAAAAAATCCCTCCCAGACTCCTGGCTCAGAAACATCAGCCCAGTCAAAACCCAGCAGAAGAGGAAAGGACGCAAATGGGTTCAGTGGGAGAGACAGACACAAACAGTCCCAAGGAGTACACAATATAAATGCTTTATTGCTAGCACAGAGGTTTCTTCTGAAGTAAATTAAAAGTCATAAATCTTCATTTTCACATTCTATACTGTGGTTCAAAGGGAACTAGCTGGTTAATGGCATGTTCACGTGGATGCACTACAGGAGAAGAGCAGGGTGTTCGCTGGAAGGACTCAAAACGGCATGTCAGGGCTTCGGCTGCTGAGTGCACTGTCGTTTGTCGATAACAGCAAGGAGAACTTGCTTTAGAACATTGTGGACAGGCTGGGTTATAAATAGAAAACCTAAAACTGGTATGGTTAGAAAGTAGGTAAACGTTAAATATAGAAGGATATATATATATATATATATATATATATATATATATATATATATATATATACCCCCGTATGCTACATACTCTAGATTATGTTTGATACTTTTAAATACATGTTCACTCAGGTTAGAGACTGGCTTGAATTTGGCAGCTAGGGAGAGAAGGAAAAGAAAGTTGATGCTGCCCACACCAAACTGGGGGTTCACTGGAAGGCAGAGGGGAGAGTAGGATTGGGAGGAGAGCCAGGCCTGAGTCATCCTCCACCCCCGCAGGCTGAAGCTCGTTGAGACAAGAATGGTGTGTGGATGAGCCACTGGGCATGACAGAGGAGCTCTGGTGGAGCGCAGCAGTCACGGCACACCGGCACTCTGCAGAGAGGGAAACACTGACGCTTGCTAGGACTTTCCAAGGTCACTGCCAATGATTTCAGGCATGTTATTGGAACACAACGGACCAGAGTGACTTTGGCACTGGGGTAAGCAGGTGCCAGTGCAGCGCAGCTAGCTGCAGAAGAGGCTGCAGTTCTGACTCCAGCAGTAAGTCACTTATGAGGACTCATCAGCCTGCTGGGCCTCTGACATCACCAACTCCTTGAGTCTACTTGGGATTGTTTTGGTCTTAAGCTTTGGAAAAGATCTTATTCTTCTATGAAAAAATAAGGGCTGTGATCCTTGTCTTGTTCCAGAATAACCAAGAAAAGAAACACACACACACACACACACACACACACACACACACACACACATGCAAACTCTGCAGCAAGTTCAGAAGCTGTGAACGACATGTGGTGTGGTAGCCTCTGATCTCCATTATCCTCATCTTCTCTCATTTGTGTTATTTATGGTTGTAAGGAAAGCAAATTGAGTCAGGATGAGCCTACACTCTTACTTAGAACATCGGCAGTGTACCAGCTCCTGGCATTTTTAGTTTGGTCTGATTCTAACTAAAACCATTTCATGTTTGCTGTGAAGAAATGGATAACATGGAATGGTAATTTGGCTGCAAAACCTTGGAAAATTGTTCCCGGCCCAAACATCTGCCCTAAATGAGCTCAGTCGAGGGCTCCTTGGAAGAGAGGGAGGGTAAGTGGAGAGACACTGGAAGGAGGAAAATGAAGACAGTGCCAAGGCAACCTTTCCTCCAGGGAAAGTCCTCTGTGACAAAGCATCAACGACCACAACGCTTATTCCATCCCACACCCCACAAAGACCAAGCACTCCTCCTCCTACCTTTGCCCAGCTTCCCCAATATTTGGTATCCATAAAATGATCCCTTTCACTAGAAACCCTGCCTCACTGGCCTGCATCAGATGTCCAGTGACCTGCCTGCTATGTCATCAATTCAATCTGTACAGAAGGGCTGGGGCTCAATTTTATACTCCTCAGAGCTGGGCTCTACAGAGAAAGCAGGGGAGTCAGCAGGCGGCCTTCACCTTCCTTCTTGGCCTCCTAGGAGTTCTTCTGGGGAATTTTCACTGTCACGGTCTTCACTTCTGAGTACTCTCGTAAGCCAAACTCTCCCCTAAAACACAGAAACAGGCAGATTCAGACACTAAAGGCCAAGGGGACAGCACCTGAGCTGTGATGGGCATCTTGGAAAAGGTGAAGTCACCACCTGTGAGCAGCAGGTCACGGGGTTTCAGAGAACCTCCTAGTGGATGACAGCAGGGCCTTCCTCAGAGCAGGGCTGGGCTCTCATGACTAGGCACCTTTCTTAAGGGATGATTTGTCTCCAAAGTAGCAGAAAGAAGTAAATCCTTGCTATTCTGAGACCCAAACCTGGGCTTAGCCATGGCAGGAAGGTTCACAGCTGAGCACTGTGGAAACAGGGAGCCAGGCCTGAGGTCTGCCAATGTCTGTGCCATGTGTCCACCTGCAGGGAGCACTGCTCCTTCAGGACTACCATATGCCACTCTGAGAACCTCCTCCAGCCTCTTCAGATTTCTGATGCCCCTGTGCTGATCATGGCTGGGGAGCTGAGAGGAAAAGTCCGAGACACCAGGCTAGGCTCCTCTCTGGTAGGAAACTCCTGTTTCTTAGTCCTTAGACTCCTTAAGTGAGAATAGATACCTACGGGCCTACTGTGGGAAAACAAAAACCATCTGTACCACCTTAAAAACCTCCATGCTTCCAAGTGAAGCCAGCCATGGCTGAGCAGGAGCTTTGACTTAACTTCACATAGATGGAACTGGTAAAAGAAAGGAGCCAGGGGCTCCTCCCAAGGCCATGTGACCCCCAAGGAACAGATCCTCATACAGCCTTAGGAGTAAATATAAATTGATTTATTTGGGCCAACTGTATGGTCTTAAACACCCAAAAGGAAAGTATAACCAAAGAGTAAAGTCATCAGTATATTTCTTTCTTTCTTTTTTTTTTTTTTTTTCGGTCTTTTTGAGACAGGGTCTCCCTGTAGCCCCAGCTGCCTTGGAACTCACTATGTAGACCACGCTGGTCTTGAGCTCACAGAGATCTGCCTGCCTCTGCCTCCCGAGTGCTGGTATTAAAGGCGTGCACCACCACGCCAGGTAAAGTCATCAGTATATTTCTTTAAGAGTTCAAGGGATTACAGTTCCCAGACATTAGGCTTAAGGCTATATAAAAAGTTATTTAGACAATTATTTCTCATTGATGATTTTGTTCTGAATCAGAAATTGCTGCTCAGATGTAAGACTTCAAATCCTTGTCTTCAATACTGTAGTGCCCACCTGTAGCTAAGGGAGACAACCACTATTGTTCTAAAATGATGGATAAATTTGCTTTCTCCCCCATCTAGAAGTCTTTGAGAGGGAACTGATACTGATTCTAACCACTCCAACAGCTATCAAAAAATGCCTGAAAGCAAATCCTGAATCCATCACTCTCAAGTACAGCCTTGGCAGACAAAAGAAAAATGAGGAGGAACCCAATAGAGGGGGGTGCCTTTGGAAGCTCTTGTCAAGAAATTCCAGTGGACTCTCATATGAACATTTGAAATTTTCCCTGTTCTTTTTTCTAGTTCCTTGTCTTGAACTTGTAATGCTAACTACTCCTGCCTTTACTTCTCCTTCACATCTCCTATTCACCAGTCAAGGACTTTCTTTTCCCCCTAAGAGTTATGCAATTTGGGAGTCTTTTAGATAGACCAACTGAAGGGGTACCCCAGTTGCCTCACCCTGTGTCCCTGTTCAGCATGGAAGAAGCCAGAGTGGTCTGCATCCCGGTTCCCTGTCTGCAAGCTGGGTAACCTCTTCAGAGGATGGTGCGATAAGAATAGGATGTAGGAATTGGCTAGGCAGTTAGTGTAAAAAGACCCCAAAGAAAAGTAGCCAGTTTCTTGTTTAAAAGTCAAAATGTCCTTGGGCCTCTTAGCAACACACTCTATTCCAAGGGCCAAAAATGTAGAAGGTATTTAGGAGCTCTTATCAAATCCTTAAAATATTTTAGGATTACTTCTTCAGATGGGGGAATGTCAGAGTAGCAAAAAGCCCCATAAAAAAAGAAGAAAGAGTACAGGAAGTTATCAGAAAAAAATGATGGGGAGATATGGGAGGAGTTAGAGGGGAGGGAGTGGGCACAGATTTGATCAAAACACCTTATATACTTATATCCTTGTATGAAATTCTTAATAAATTACTGAAAAAAACCCACGGCCCTGAGTAAGTACTGTCGACAGCCCCTCAGAGTTGGGGAAAGATTTAAGAAATAAGAACGGACTGAAGAAGAATGAAGAACTTAGTGAGTGCTCTCCCCAAGATTCTCTTTACCAACCATGATCTTAGAAGGGAAATGCCAAAATCAGTCAACGATAGTAGACATTTATTGAGCTATCACTCTGAGGCAGCACTGTGCTGGGCTCAGGGCAAGTGAAGTCAAATCATTGGTCCTAGCTCAAGAAGTCTGCAGGGAGTGGGTCTCAGGAACTGCAGCTAGAGCACTTCGATCCACCATGGAGCTGAGCTCAATAATCTTGCTTGTGGGTCGGCCACAGTACCTGGCACAGGGAGGACTGGATAACTGTGGAGAGGAGGAGGGGAGAGGGAGGCTTTTGCCTTTCAGCATGTTGCCACACCATCCCCATCAGGAGGGAGTAAAAGACTACCCAGAGCAGTGTGTGCATGTAAGAAGGCTGTCTTCTAGAGTGGCCAGTTATAAAAGGCACAGTACCTGTAACTGGGCCATACTAGCAGGACCCAGGACAAAGACCCGTACTGGTTCTTTCTGGGATCCCTGTGGCCCTACACCCAGCTCTAATAGCATTGCTAGCAGCTCCTTTAAGCACCATGGGCACCAGAGTTCACAAAGCTCCTCTGGGACATCAAAGGGCAACCAAGGAGACTCTGCAGGCACACCATCATTGCCTGGGTCATTCCGCTCAGAGAAGAGCGAGCTGGGCCTGCAGTGTCCTCATTAATTCCATCCAGGCCCTGGGTGTCTATTACCAGCTTAGCTCTGGCTCTCACTGGACTTTTTCCTGCCCTGGGGAAATTCCCAAGTGTCTCTCTTCATCAGGACATCATGTACTTCCTGTTGGAAGTAAGGTCACTCCATTCTGTTTCCTGGCTTGTGCATGTACTTGGGCAGACCCTGAAGCATGCTTTTCTCCCACTCAGGTCTCCAAGATGTGAGAGGTGTGAGGGAGTCTACGGAATCAGAAACACCTCAGTATGGCGGCTTTCAAGTGTGACCACTTGCTCCTATGGTGTTCAGATGTGGGAGGCCGTGGGAGGCCGCACTAAGTCAGTGGCTCCTCTCCCAGTTCCAGACAGGGATAGATACACAGTCTGCTCTGATGCAAAGGAGGCAATGTATGCCTATAGTCAAAGGACCGCCATATGCCCAGGGCACCAAGGCGAGTCAATGAGAGGCCTCAGGGCAGTGTGACGGGGGCAGCATGGAGCAGAGATGAACCCTGGAGTCAGCAGACAGGAGGATCAAAGGCTATGTCGCTAGCTTGCTGAAGGACTCAGTCGAGCTAGCCCCATCCTCTTGGTATCTAGTCACCTCTCTAGTGGCAGTTCCTGAACCTCAGCATACAGAGCTGTACCACGTGAGGAGCTTGTCTAATCTGTCAGTTCTTGACCCTCCCCTACACCACAGTTTCCACTCAGTGGGTCTGGGGAGGGACCCTGGAGAAGGGGTCAAGCTGGTCATTTTGCCCACTCTTTAGGAAGCACTGCTCCAAGGATTCTAAAGTCCTCAAAGCTTGGATTCTTTAGCAATTTCACAGCCTCATTCCAGGGTCCTTTTCTCAAATCTATTCACTACAGTTCACATCTGTGGCACACCTAGATCCACAGTTAGCAAGGAAGAACCTCAGTCCTGTCCAAGAGGCAGACCCCTTGTTGCTGAAGCTCCTCCCTCTCTATGTGGCCACTGTCATCGCCGCACACTGAGATGTCCTTCTCAGCAGACTAGGTTATAGTCACTAAGATAAACTGAAGCAGAACACCTAGAGATAAGGAAAAAATGTTAGATTTTGGTGGTGCCCGGTGAACCATTTTAGGAGTCAGTGGATTTCTCTTTAGAGTATGTATTTCCAAGCACTTCTACTTGACTTGCTGCAGAATTTTTCTGAATGAAGGCCCCATACCAGTTGCACCAGCATCATTTTAGAAGCTTGTTAAAAAATGCAGAGCCTGGGCCCTAGGCCAGGTCTGCTCAGTCAGTCCAAATCTGAAGTGGGTCGCCAGAGCCAGATGACTTCTGTGCATGCTATGTATGCAAATGCGTGTGTGTGTGTGTGTGTGTGTGTGTGTGTGTGTGTGTGCGTGCAGAAACACAACTTGAGAAATTTTGTTGCTGAATATTCCATCATGCCTCTCATCCTCACAGGCTCTTCCTTGGCCTCTAAGATATTAACATTTATAGACCTCTGTCCATCCCCTCGGTTCCTGGCAGGTATTTTGTAGCTTTTGCTTTACCACCTTTCATCTCAGAGGAACTAAATGAGGAAGGGGGGAAAGGATGGAAGGAAACATTTGGAGCTGGATGGGCAACCAGCACTGAGAGCAGCACACTTACAGCTTCTGACCCAGGGAGGGAGCAGGCAGACCGGCAGATAACCTGCAGAGGGCACCACTCCTGCAGCTCTGGAAGAACCTGAAGCCACTTCCCTTCTCCGCCCTACTTGTGGGTGGGCGTGGGGACCCTGCGCCGTCAGGCAAGGAAGTCTGTCTAGAGAAAAGGCTAAATGGAGTTTCTGGAGATGCATCAAATGAGATGGAATGTGGGACCAGGACAGCTTGCCTACTACTCTGGGCCATTTAAGAAAGGAAAAGCACAAGTAAGCAGAGGAGAAGAACCAGGTCATTGGCATCACAGCTTCTTAAACTGTGGACCGTAGATATGGGTTTGTGTAATGAACGTGGGGATCATGACAAGTTTGGCAACATTAAAGGGTTTCTGAATACTCAATGACCAAAAATTAATTCGAAATCAACTATATATGAATCTGAGGTGTTTCTGGCCATGCTTGCCCATGTTTGTGATGAACTTAAAAAGTGTGTTTTGCACTGTGTATGTCATTAAGCGAACTCCAACACCTTGGCTCAGATCCCAGACTACTGTTCCTGATGTTCACTGTACATGCAAAGTTTCTTACAGAAACATATTGTTTTTATTGTGAAAATAAAGGCTTTTAATATTCCCCATCACCATTCCTCAGCATGTAAGTTGCAAATTAGTGCCTCTTTAGGTTGTATTGTGTTAGAATGTTTGACTTTGAAAAAAATGCTGTTTGACTTTAATAAAAACCTGCTAAGTGTATTTTGACTTAGGATTAGGGCAGAATTTCTGAAATGGCCCTAAACATACTTCTGTCACTTTGCAGAACATGTTCATGTGAAACAGTGCTCTCAGCACTGATCAAAATAAAATCAAAATATCCATCAGTTCTGCATCCCACGGCATCCAACATTCAGCCAGACTTAATTCATTATGTAAAGATAAACAAGCACATCCATCTCATTAATATGCAAATTTCAAGACCTCTAAGAAACAGTAAAGCTGTATGTATTACAAAGCACTGTCTTATAATAAATTTCTTTAGGACATTATCAGAAAACATGTTGTGTATCTATTTTTCATACCCACATATGCAAGGCTCCATAAAAATTTCTGAGGCAAAAAGGGTTCCAAGTGGAAAAAGTTTAAGAAGGCTTGACTTTGGTAATACACAACAGGTCTGTCCCATCAGAGTACCATTTCCTGATTATCTTTTAACTGCAGGGGGGCCCACATTACCTCTCTGTAAGTAGAAAGAAGCTGCTCTTCAGATTGTTGGACCACTTTTACATATGTCTGACCAAGCCAAACTGTCCCCTGGATCATCTTTCTAGCAAAAGACATTTCTACTGGGAACAGACTGGACCTGCACAACCTTACATGTTTGAATCCTGGCAGGAGGTCTGTTTTGATGAGGGGCAGGGACAGACCAGGATTGGGCCTCATTAACCAGAGGCCATTTGTTGCAAGTATATTTTATACTGGTGATTCACCCTGTTAATGATCTGTAACAACAAAACAGTCAGTGTGAGCAGAGTTTCCAGAGCCAGTGACTGCCCCGACACTTCACAGATCAGGCAAGGACAGCCACAGAGACAGGAAATGAGAGAGAAGCAGAATGTGTCCTCAAGCACGGGAGCAGGAAGCTAAAGCCATATGTGGGCCAAAAAGAGGTACCTGAGTGCAGAAAGGCCTAGGCCAGCTGAAGGAGTACAAGCACCTGTGTGAACAGCATCCAAGTGGGTTATGGTTCTGGCTAGAAGACAAGTGTGAAGCCCTGGAGGCCAGAAGCACAGGTGCACAACAGAACAGTTTCTTTCTAGCTTACCAGAGAGCACAGGAGCTGGTGACACTGGCTGAGTTAGGAAACTGCCACACCTGGAGAGTTTATTAAGGAAAAGGGTCACCTACCCAGCAGTCCCCTTGACCGCGGCTGGCAGTGTCACCTTCAGAAGGCTTGCCATACACTGTTGCATTTTGCATACACAATCCAAATACAGTCCTCACAGCACTGTAATGACTGTCATCTTACAGATAAGGACACTGAGGCTTGGGGGAGATTGGGAAATATGTCCAAGTTTACACAGCTAGGAAGCAGAAGTGCCAAGATTCACATCTAAGCAGTGTGGCTCTCCAAAGTGCTCTTAGCCTCAAGGCTGTCCCAACCTAGCAGTCTAATGATGAGGGGCTGGAAAATGCCAGTTTCAGCATCTGAAGCAGGGAATTCCTCTGTCCCTGTCTGACTGGTTCACTGCACAAGCCACAAACAGCATCCTTACTTTTCCCACAGTGCCTCTGCTGACTCTGCCCCTCCACTACACCTTGCTCACCCTCCAAACTTGAAAGAATATTCCTCTCTCCATATGTTCCTGTGCTCCACTCCTCAAAAGGCAAATTCAAACCCCTGTATAAGACCACAGTGAGACACTTTCCAGACTTTCACAATGATCTCACCTCTGAGTTCCTCTTTCACGTTGCCTCTTTGCTGGGGCCCTTTGGGTCCATTCAGTGCTGTCCATCTCATTCATCCAACAGTACTTTAAGTATCTGAATGAGCTGCAGCTCTGCACGGACCAAACCCAGTGTTTTGCTGTCTATGCTCCCTGCTTAGTAGATGGCTCAAAAAGTTTTTTTTTTCAATAATGACAGAAAGAACAGGCATGGAAGATGTTCCTTTTTATCAGCCACAGGATACAGAAACAAGGATCTACTCCTTTCAAAATGGGAATACAGACTTTCTGGATGGGGTGTCGGTTCAGGAAGTCTCCGGCCACCATTCATCTCATGAATGCCACTCAAAAATCAACTTATATTGAAGTCTACACTGAAAGTCTCAAGTCTAGTTTACTCCTATTATAGTCCTTGTTTTGCAGGTCCCTACTCAGGACAACTGTGTTGGGTTCTAATCCTATTCCTGAAGTGTCAGCCCCTCTGCCTGATCCTCTAATCCTGTTCCTGAAGAGTCAGCCCCTCTGCCTGATTCTATGCTTCCATTGATGGATGTCATTCAGGCGAGGCCAACTATGTAAAACCATCTCAGATCTGCCAGTCACTAGCTGTGTGACTTAGGCAAGCTAGTTAACTACTCCTTAGCTCCTTACTGAACCATCTTGTGTAAAGACAAGTATGTAAAGATAGCTCATACAATCATTGCAAAAATCAAATGAGATACTAGAAGTTAGCAGAGAGCCAGGTAAATAACACTTAACTAATGACAGCTGCTAGGATCTGAATATTTGTGTCACCCCAAGATTTGTATGTTGGAACCTATTACACAGTGTGTTAGTATTGAGAAGAGGGGCTGTTGGGAAGCAATTAAATCACCAGGGCTCCACCCTCACAAATAGAACTGGAGCCCTTCAGAATGGGATCCAGCAGGCTTCTTTTTCCTTCAACTGCATGAGGACACAGAAAGTGCCACCTATACGAAATGAACCCTTCCCAGACACTAAATCTACCAGCACCTTGATAATGGACATAGTGCCCAGAACATGAGCAGTAAGTTTCTAATGTTTACATATTACCCAGTCTAAGGTGTTTTGTAATAGCCACCTGAACGGACAAAAAAACAAAACAAAACAAGAAACCCTAATATCACTGTTGATGCAAAATTCTTCTAACCAGTCTTCTTTCACAAGCCTCTGCCAAGACACCTTTTATATGCCAGGAATCTTGGCCTTAAAATAAACCCTAGCATATCCTTGGGTCCTAATTTCCTTGAAAGCCCTCGAGATGTACTTAATTTGTGTGTTCAACAAGTCCCCTCCCCTGACCCTGTGTCCTAACCCTGCAGTCCCAACTTCAGAGGACCAGTGAAGGCTGAGCAAGTGGTACAAGAAAGTGGCCTGGTGGGCACAACAGGAATGGCAACCAGCACTGGGCCCCGGAAGTTGAGAGAGTGATGGTAACGTGGCAAACCTACAGAGCTCTGGCAATTTTGTCAAGGGGAAATGAAAATAAGCAATCTAGGTTTTACACAGAGCTTCAACATTTTGGAGTCCGAGCTGAAGACTTCCAAACGTTGTGAAGGCAGTGTACTTTTTCTGTAGGCCGGATCTGGTCCCTTATGTTGGAAGTTGGTGACTGCTATTCCTGAAAACCACAATGGTGTTTCCTCTGTGGGGTCTTCTCTGACCTCAACAGACAGCACTGCTTTTCCTCTGTACTTACAAGATGAATAACTGATCTATTTTCTCTGTTCAATCTTAGTATAAGGGAGCTGCATCTCACTTTGGTACCATGTTATACCTAGCTTATAATAGTTCGTGCTCAAAAAAAAATGTTAGATTAAGCTGGGTGTGGTGGCTCACGCCTGTAATTCTAGCACTCAGGACAGCTGAGGCAGGAGGATAACTGCAAGTCTGAGGTCAGTCTAGGCTGCATACTGAGTTCTAGGTTAATCTAGACTACAGAGAGACCCTGTCTCAAACACTGACAGCAGTAATAACAACAAAGTTTAAGGAGTAAAGGAGTGTAAGGGAATGAAGTAAGTATGCCTCTGTGCTGATGCCCAGAATCCCTAATCTCTGCAGACACCAGCAACTTGACACTTACATTTCTCTTCCATTTCCAGACATCTTGAACCCCCCAAAGGGGCTCTGAGCATTTAAGGCATTGTAACAATTGATCCTGAAAGAAGAAAGCATAGTACTATTAATAAGAATTCCACCTGTCAGAAATAAACCTAACTGGCATCTTTCTTTCTTTCTCTTTTCTTTTTTGAGACAGGGTCTCTCTGTAGCCCCAGCTGGCCTGGAACTCACTATGTAGATCAGGCTGGCCTTGAACTCACAGAGATCCGCCTGCCTCTGCCTCCCAGGCGCTGGGATTAAAGACGTGCACCACCATTTCTTTTAACAGTTTTACTTTCTTGTTTCTTTTCTTCAAAGTGAAAAATTACTGTGATTGCTTTGATTTCATGATCTATCTAGTGAGACTTGTTCTCTCAGGCTGAGGTCTGGCTGCTCTGTCTTCCCCATCCTTGCAGAGGATCCCAATTATGCTATCCTGGTACCAACTGTACAGACCTGCTACATGTTGGATGTTGTTTGCCCCCCAAGGTTTGGTCCCCAGGGTGGTGATGTTGGCAGATGACATGGAGCTGTTAATGGTGGACCCCAGTGGGGGCTCCTTAGTCACTAGGGGAACTGCCCTCAGAAGGAAGAGATTAAGATAGCTATTATGGGACTCCTGAGCTCATACTCATTGCAAGAGTAATGTGCTTTAAGAGCAAGCCTCAACCCCCAGACTTTCTCTCTGGTTCTGGTCCTCCCACATGTTCTTCTGCCATGAGGTGGTATGGACAAGAAAGGTCCTGCAAGAGTATGCACTGTTCTCACTGGACTTTAGAGCCTCTCCTGTGAACTAAATAAACCTTTTTTTTTTTTTAAAAAAAATAAAGTTAGCCTGCCTTAGGTATTTCATGTTAGTAATGCAAAATGATCTAATACAGGCCTCCTTACATCACCAGTGGAACTCACTGGGGCCTGAACAATGAGATTGCCTCTGATCTTACCAAACAGTCCCAGCTTGCATTGCAGAAGACACTGTGAGAGCCTTATTGATGTCATTAGTGAAAACGGCTGCTACGAGTCCAAAGTCTGAATTATTGGCTCTTTCTATAACTTCATCCATAGTCTTAAACCTCAGAATTTCCTGAACAGGACCAAAGATCTGCAACAGAAGAATCTGACTATTAAGAAAGATGTACATATGGAAAATTAAAAGTGCTACAACTCTGATATTACCCGAATGCTCTGGAAACCACCCCAGGAAAGACATGGCTTTTTATAAGAACACCCATGTGATACCTCTTCCTTGGCAATCCGCATGTCATCAGTGACGTTGGAGAACACAGTGGGCTCGATGAAGAAGCCCTTCCGGCCCAGTCCTTTGCCCCCACACTCCAGCTTGGCGCCCTCAGCCACACCACTCTGGATGAGCTCCAGGATCTTGTTGTACTGCTTCTTATCAATCTGTGGGAGAGACCGCCCAGTGACTAGAGTAAGGCCTTCCATAGCAATGGAAGCAAGCGTGTTCTCAAGAAGCCCTCCTGTTTGAGTTCCTTCCCAAAGTTTCATTGTATGCAGGGAAAGCACATGAAACTGATATTACTTACCAACTTTTGAACTCTGGAAAAAATAGGAATTTTGTCTGACTCCACCTAATATATGGGAGAATCTATACAGGTGGTAGAGCTCTGATGATTTTTCCCTAATCTGAAATTCTAGGTCAAGATTTAAAAACTTTACAAAATGCCAGCAACCTGAATTTATTATTCAGAGTTTATATGAAGAATACTGACTTCCATCCAGATGAATAATTAAGCAAGACATACTGATATCAAAAAAGCAAAAACTTAGGGAGCTGGAGAGATGGGTCAGTGGTTAAGAGCTGGCTGCTTTTGCAGAGGACCCAGGTTCAATTCCCAGCACCTACATGGTAGCTAACAACCTTCTGTAACTCCAGTTCCAGGGGATGCAATGCTCTCTTCTAGCCTTCACGGGCACTGCATGCATATGGTTCACTTACATAAAGGCAAGACACACACATATAAAATAAAAATAAGTAAATAAAATATTTTTTTTTAAAAAAAGCAAAAACAGGCCACGCATGTTGGCGCATGCCTTTAGTCCCAGCACTCGGGAGGCAGTGGCAGAAGTGGGCAGTTCTCTGTGAGATCGAGGCCAACCTGGTCTACATAGCGAGTGCCAGGCCAGCTGGGGCTACAGGGAGACCCTGTCTCAAAAAGAACAACAACAACAAAAAAGCTAACTAACATACAACATACAGCCTCTTTCAGTAGGAAGCAGGAAACATTAAAATACTATTGGGTTTGTTCTTAGAGAAGAAGATTAAACTTAATAAGGGCAAGACTCCTAGTTGAAAAAAATAAGCCAACACAAATTGTTACCATTCGATAAGCATGGTAAATGATATAAGAAACTATATTCACCTTAGTTTGCTCAACTAGAACATCGTTTTTCTTACCAATGTTCCCGAAACTGAGAGGTGTTGTCCTTTATCAGAAAATTTATGCTTAGTGCCCAGATGAAAGCTGATTCAGATATGCCCTTAGAGCAGCTCAGACCCTGACTGTTGTTCAAAACCACAGTTCCATTTGGGAATAGAGCATGATAGTTACGGCCAGTCTACAGAGCACAAGTGTGCAATCTGACTACTCAGGAGGTATGTTTGTAACTGTCCCTCTCCTATCACGGTACATAACTTAGAGTGAGAGATAGTCACACAGTCAAAGGAAAGGTCAGCCGTCTTTTCATTCCTACAGGTTACAGACTAGGGCATAGTGGCACAGAGAACTCTTGGCACTAGTAAAGGTAAATGACTCTAAGAAGCAGATACCCACCTTTCTCCACTGTGGCATTCGGAGAAGTGGTTAAAAGGGTTGGGTCTGGTCCGTATTGCCAAGATCTACCCAGCCACACTCAGGAATTTCTTTACAGCTAAATCATACCCGAAGTTTAAAATACATTTAATGCAATCCTAATCCCATAGTTCCTCAGAGCAGAAATTTATAAATGTAAAGAGACGCAATACCTCACTGGCTACATTTTCAGTCATAAAGACAAAAGCAGAAGAATAAGGAGACAGCCAGGCGAAAGTGCTCTGCTGGGTCCTGTTAGCACTCCCCAGTATCTGCGCTAGCCAGAGATGAGATTACAAAAAGGAAATGATTCCTACCTGAGGCCCCTGCTCAGTGGTGGGGTCAAAGGGGCTCCCCACTATGCGCCTCTTGGCCCGTTCTACACTTCTTTTCACGAACTCCTCATAGATGGACTCCTCCACAAAGATGCGAGATCCTGCAGTGCAACACTGGCCTTGGTTGAAGAACACACCCTGGTGAGCCTGCTCCACGGCATAGTCCACTGTAAGAAGAAGCACCCATGTTCTCAACTGCCTTGCCTGTGCCTGTCTAGGGAGCCACCTCCCTCCCGTCACCAAAGGCCCAGGTGTAACATTCTGTTCACAATGGAGGATGCCAGTGACTAGCTTTGGACTGAGGACTCAACTCAGTTGTTCTAACCAGCCCCTGACTACTTGCTGTGTGATGGTGGGCAGTCTCACGTCCCTGAGCCTCTTTCTGTAAACAGAGGGGCTGGTCCATGTCAACACCACCTATAACAGGAGACTTAAATCTAACTAACAAAAGGTCTATGCTCATAAGGATATGAATCTTCCAGGTGGTCAAGCATGCAACGGATACCAATAGAAGCCACTGCCTAGGCTGTTAGCATGCGTGAATGTAAGGCAGAGCTTACCCAATCTTTGCGATTTTAAAGAAATCCAGAAATCAGAATTCAATATGAAGCTTTTGTTTTTAAACTTAATGTAATAATTGCAAAAGTAAATGTATGTATTTGGCCTAGGCTGCCAATTTAGAACTCCTGATCAATTCGATCAGTATGTTTAATTTGTATTCAGTGATTAAACTGTAACATTCTTTGCAGACACTAAATCTCCTTTTTAATGACATGGACTTGTTCAGCAGCAGTGTAATTCTTTTGTCCTCGTTTCTGGTATCTTATGCTTCAAGATAGTATTGGTTATCTGTATACTAGTGGCTAGATGACTGAATTAATCAGTGCTGTGGCAGCAGAGAATCTGCTCCTCAGGAGGAGCTGGTGAAGAGCTCAGCCCTCTACAACTAGTCGGAGGCGAAAGGCAAACTGCGAAGCCCAAGCTGGCGGCCCTGTAAGCAACCACTTTCTTTCTCCTAGCTTCTCCAGTACGGGGGCTGACAAGGAGTGCTGCCTGGAGCATGTGAGGGAGAAAAGAATGGCTGGATGAGATCTTGGAATTTCAGTCCCTGGAGAGCACACCTGTGCAGAACCGACTTCAAGGCCTCTTCTCCAGAGGGTTTCCTAGGTTACTGATCTATGCCTCTGGCAAGGTCTGTCCACACAGAACTGGTCAGAATGAGTTGTCCCACCCCCTCAAAGTCTTGGCAGCAACAGAAAGGGGAAAGGGGTTGGCATGGACAACCAGAGATGGGGGTTTGGGAAAATGCAGACTGTGCTCTGGGAGCAGGGGTTGTTTTTAATGATTGACCAGCCACTAGACTCAGCTGAAATTTCAGATTTCCTGAATCTAGGCAGAGACTGAACCTGAGATGTCCAGAGACTGAGAACATAGCTCTTTCCACTACATACTGCTGAACTTTCACCTTTTTGACCCTATTTTACCTATCAGAGTCAAAGTGGCCCATTTTAGTGTCTGGAAATTAAACTGTTCAGTGGTTACCAGGTGCTTTCTCCAATATTAAACTATTTTGTCCTCAGAAGGATATCTTGATTGCCCTTAGCTTCAAAGATCTTTTTGTGTTTAATTAGGACTGGATACACAAAAGAGGACACTGAAGGGTGGCACACTGGAACATGTGAAGAGATCTGTGGGCCACTTACAGTCAGCATCTGCAAAAATAATATTGGGGCTTTTCCCGCCAAGTTCCAGAGTTACTCTCTTCAAATTGCTTCTTCCTGCTGCTTCTTGAATAAGCTTTCCAACCTGAAGTGAAGGAAATGAAAGGACGTCTGACACATTTTGCACTAAGACAGCTAGTGGTCAACAACAGACATGAGAGTTAGCTGATTCTAAACATAAAATAATTCCAATGGGACCACGTTTATGGTCAGTGAGGGTGAATGAGGCTAGGTAGTTGGGATGCAGTGGAACACCCATACTGAAGAGAACTGGAGGACTGCTCTCGTCATGAAGAGCAAGGCAAAGATTTTGTTGAACATAAATGGCAAACCCCTCATTGTGGTTTATTTCTCGGGACTCTGGCTTCCAGGGAAAAATGTCAACTGATTCTCTTTGAAAGACACCATATCAAGGTAAAACAAATTGTTCATATGCCTGTAAAGTTGCCGGGTCTTATACCTTTGTCTCTGCTTCGGGCTAGAGTCAAAGGATTCTAGATAGTTGGGAGTCTGCCTCAAACTGTCTATCTAGAATCCAAATGAACAAGAGGCTGCGTAAAGAAAGTATTTTCCATTGAGTAGACTCATACTTGTGATGAATGTGTCAGATAGAAACAGGGGTGCACCATGGAGAGGTCCTGCTCAAGAAAGAGCATGTTACCTCAGTGGCAAACAATGCTTTCAGGAGAGAGACTAAAGCTGCCAGCTCCTTCAGGGTCTGTCTAAGCCAAAAATAACTCTGTGGGGATGGCCCCATCCACTCACTGATTGTGGCAGTGTACAAAGGCCCTGTCCAGCACAAGACCCTCTGCAGGATCATCTACATTCCATCATGCCTCATGTGACAACCAATGCTGTCAGGCCTGCACTGCGATTCGCCTTCCCTTCAGCAGGGGTCCATGATGAATGCCCTGCATGCAAACTCTGCCTCAGTGACTGCTTCAGAGAATCCACCCACAACAGTGTTCTCCACTGGAGAACAAGGTCACTTTACGGTAAATGTTGAGCCACCCTGTATAGGCAATTTGGTCCCAAGGTGAAAGAACTGTTACTGCTGCCTAGAAGTCTAAGAACTAAATATTTTTAAAGGCCAGAGAAGAGAAATTCTATCTCTATGCTTATGATTGGTGTTTTGAGCTGCCCACTGGGATTCTGCAGAGGGATGAGTTCTCCGGCAGTGAAGAGATGTAGTTAAGAGAAAAGGCTCACAGCTAAGAGTGCCTGGAGCCATTCACTGCCTCTTCATTCACCAACTGAATGGTCTTGAGAAATGTATTCAGCTTCCTAGCTTTGGTTCCCTCCTCTATAACTGGGGATAAAATTAGCAAATACCTTAAAGTTTGTGTACTACAATTCAGTGGTTTAATGCGGAAGGCATTTAGAGCCCAGCCTAGCATACAGTGCTACATCCTAACACACTGTGCTTACATCCCAACCGTGTACAAGCATGAGAAGCCAGGAGGCTCTTTTCCTCCAAGTTCAATGGAGAGACATTGAGGTGACTGTAAGAGAAGGTACCACCAGATCTTCCAAATCCATCTATATGCATAGTAATTGTCTCAGGAAAACGCTGAGAGAACCCCGGTTGCCAATATATTCATTAGCTGGGCTGAATGCTTTAGTAATTCTGCCTCACTCTATACTTTTTTCCTTTAAGAAAAAATAGCCTCATTCTGAGGAAACAACCTTTGGGGGAAAGTGATGTCTCTGAAAAGGGTAGGATTAGTTTCTTGTTTCACAGAAAAATGTTACTTACCAGGGTATTAGGAAGTGCTAAAATCGAGCTGTAAATACTAATGGGAAGAGTTTGGTCCGCCAGCAAAAAAATGCCTGCTTCCGGTCCTTACCAGCTTAGATCTCTTCTCTCCAGGCAAGCTCCTTAGGAAGTTTCTAGATAAGCAAACATTCTCTCTCCTCCAAGAAGAGAAAGCACGCATACACAGAGGAAAGGAATCTCTGACCCTCTGGCCCTTTTTTTTTTTTTTACTACTTTT